CAGGGTTGCAGCGGTTGCAGCTGGGACCTGGCTCTGGCGCTCCACCACTGCCCTGAAATCATTAGTCTGTATTGTTTTAGAAAAACTGTCACATGACAATAAACAAAAATGTATCAGTACTCGTACTTGTAAGTACTTGGGCAAGTACCAGTACTTGTACTTGCAAAAAATGGTATGGGTGCATCCCTTTATATATATTTAAAAACAAAATCATACAATAAAACAGAGACGTACAAATCCCAGGAGCTACGTGTGCTCCTTACAAATGACAGCTGCCTCCTAACTTTTACATTTTTCTCTAGTCTAGTCTTGGAGCTGGAAAAGTATCTGTACTTGTACTGAGTACGGTACTTGGTATCGGTTCATCCCTAATATATGCTAATATATATTCAGGTGGATGTATGTTTATAGTCCAATATTTTCTTCCTTTAGAATTCTCTGGGGCGCCCCATGTGTTTTTATCAGCACCCATTACAACCAGTACACTTTGTTCGCATCCTGTTGTAGGACTAGGCTTTTTTTTCCCTTAGCAATGCATTGCAAATAAATGCAAGCTACTGATAAGCTGAAAAAGGATCCCATAAATTAAAAAGGTAATTCGATACCAATATTTGACTTATCATAGCAGTTTCCACCCATAATAGAGATAACAACTTTGCATACACATATCCTTTAAACAATATAATATTGGAGGAAAGTATATTTGTCATATTAGGGGCATCTACCATCTATTGAAATACAGTGGATTAGGTGCCATGTTGTCTATCTATCGCCACATGTTATATGACTTCTTTATGCAGGAGACCTTTTGATGGTATAATGTATAATTAGTATAAACATATTCATTTATAAACATTCACTCTTCATTAAATACTATCAGCCACATGGAGCCTGGTTCTGTTTTAACTTAATGAGACACAGGTTATGTACAGGTCAGATTGTTGCTTTTAATTCTTTTGATAGCCGAATGTGGTGTACATGTATGAGAACGGATGCAATGCACTTCATTTCAAGGATCTGTATATTAGACAGGAAAATAAAGGAAAGCTGTCAGAATTTCATATTTGCATGACTTTTGAATATTGCCATTTGTAAACAACATCTGTCAGTTCGATATTCATGTACAGTTACATGTTCTCTGCATTGATCCGCTAAATATTTCTGCACTTCTATTAATTATTTTGTTCCTTTAATAAATGAGAATACTTCTTAAATATACAGTGATGCTTCTGAACCAGAACTAGCAGTAAACTGTAGGAACATTTCAATAGTCTTACCACTGTTTCCAGAAAAAGGCCATCTGACAATTCATTGTTACATTCTATTATTAACAGTGTATATGGATTTACTTACAGCAGGTGTTGGCTGAGTCATCAAATTTTCTTTATTTCTTTAATACGAACATTCCGATCATACCACCTGCTGACATAAGTAGGTATTTCAAAGCAATTATTAACATTGGTGCATATTATTTTGGTGTTCAGGCACTGATGTATATATCAATGTGATTTTCTTGAAAGCATTCTGTACTTTGAGAAGTCTATAGGCTGCTGCTATTGATACTGCTGATCCAGTATCTTCAATACTTTCTGAGTCAATGATCCAGAATGTGTGGTGTAGTGGTGAGTACCTTTTCCCTGGAGCACTGCGGGTCCCTGGATCAAATCTTGGCCAGGACATTATCTGCAAGGAGTTTGCATGTTCTCTCTGTGCTTGTGTGGGTTTCTTCCGGGTACTCTGGTTTCCTCCCACACTCCAAAGACATGCTGGAAGGTTAATTGGCTCCTCTGTTTACATCCTTTCTTGTTTACATCCTTGGTGCAGAAATCTTCACTGGTAATCACTGGTAATGACTGCACCAATTTAACCTGCATGAGAGGCGTGTTAAGAAAAAGGCTTAGCTGTCCAAAAAGAAAATTTAAGCAAGATTACAGTTTGCTATTGAACATATGGGCTGCTGTTTGCTGTGAACCAAAGTCGGAATATCAGAAGAATCTCATATCAATTGTGAGGCATGCTAATGGAAATGTTAATATTTATTACATTTATTTATATAGAGTAGACAATTTACGCAGCCCTTTACATAGCGCACATTCACATCAGCCCCTGCCCTCAAGGAGCTTACAATCTAAGGTCCCTATGTCGCATACATACATACAGGGCCAAATTAGACAGAAGCCAATTACCTTTTCAGCATGTCTTTGGAGTGTGGGAGGAAACGAGTACCTGGAGGAAACCCACGCAAGCACAAGGAGAGCATGCCAACTCCTTATAGATAGTGACCTGGCCAGGATCCAGTATGGTTTGGGGATAATTTGCTGCTTCAGGTCCTGGGCAGCTCACAGTCATCGAGTCTACTCTACATTCTGCATCATAAAGTGTATGTGATGAAAATGCAAGGCCGTATGTCCAAAAGTTAAAGTCTTTCAACACTATAATGATCCAAAATACACAAGACAATCGACCAAGGAATGGCTCAAAAGTAAAAAATAAAGCATTATAGAATGCCCTAGTCAAAGCTCTGATTTGATCCCCATTTAAATTGTATAGGGAGATTTTAAAATGGATAGTTCATGCAAGGAAACCCCCTTTCATCTTGCAACTGAAGACATTTTGCATGGAAAAGTGCTAACAAATTTGGATGTTGATTTCAGAGACTGGTGATCAGTTGTAAAATGGCCTACAGAAAGTCATTTCTGCTACAGGGGCAATACCAGCTTTTGATGCCAAGGGTATACTTACTTTGTTTACCATTACATCAATTGATACTGAATAAATGATTGAAAATGCAAACCTTCCTTTTGTTCTTATTCAGGTATATCACCTTTATCTGTAGACACTGTTTTTAATAAAGATGCATTGTTGACCTATTCAGATGTTTAAAAGGTCCACAATTTCCATGGGATGTGCTTAGTTTTTATAGTCATGTAACTCTACGTGATGAGTACAACAAAGTGACTGTCAACTTAGATAATCATAGGGGAATGTAGGGCAATGCTATGTAATCTAAATTCTGTTTTATATTATCGACCTGATTTAAAACGTATGTATAGCCAAAGCTTTTTCTTTTTTTTTAGCTAGAGAAAGTAAAACTAAAAGCCCTGTCAGGTTATTTTTTGCTGCCTCTGTCCCATTGGCTAGATTTCATTTCAGCTATCCTGGAGACCCAACAAGAAGTGTGTGAAAATCTCTACAAAATGAGGGGAATAAAATAATAAATAATAGTAAAGTAATTAAAAATAATTTGAAAAAAGTCATTTTCGGTTTCGGCTTGACAAATGCTGGTGCGGGAGGTGCCATTCATTTTAATGGCTCCCCAAACGCGCCTCCCGGCTACAGTGTGATCGCCCGCACCGGAACAGGTGGTAATGTTTATAACACTCTTTTGTTCATTTTATTTTAAATTAAGGATGGTATATCATTTTTTTTTTATCTGATCGAAAAAATAATCGCCCATTTAATCGATTCTGAAAATAATTGTTAGTTGCAGCCCTATTTGATATATGGAATAAAAAGCATTGCACGGGTATGAATTTTTAAAAGGTTTTTATATATTTATGGTGCTGTGTGTTTTGTAAGTGGGCAAATATTAATTAAAAAAATGATTTGCATAGAAAAATAAAGAGTTCCCTTCTTGATGATATCTCTTGTTTGAGGGAATACTTTTAGTATTAAAAGTGAATAGGAATTTCCTTATTACATGACTGGATAATTAAAGTGAATTTATACACAATTTATTGTGTGAAGATTGCTCAATTGCATTAGTAAATCAGCCCAATTACATTCAATGCTGATGATTAGCTACACTCTTCATCTACAAGTCCCCATTCACAGCTTAGAGTGGTGGGAGCATGCAGAGCGTTCACATGCATCCTTTCAGCACCTCCCATCTGCCTGCATTGCATGGCACAGAGAAGCACATAGACCCAATGATTATGTCTAAAATAAGGTACGTAATGAAAATTGAAAAAATGTATAAAATATTTCATTAGCATGTTGATGAGGGGGAAGGGAGGAACCAAGGAAGGAAAAATATAAGCAGAATAAACTTTAAGTTAAAGAAATGCCCTTTACTGATTAGCTGTCTTAGTAATTGAACAGAGTTCACTATATTTCTCTGTGTTGGTTTTAGTTGATTGGCTTTATTCTTATTTATTAGGTCTTTATGGAGATAATTCTTTAACTTCAATACCAACACAAGTCTCTGAGCAGTCACCAGAACCAACTACTGTATCAGTTTTGAAACCTGTAAGTTTACCTGTGAAAGAGACCACACCAAATGTGATAGAAGAAACCACACTGGATAGAAATATCTCCAACCTTTTAGAACAAGCTACAACAACAAGTAGCAGTATTGTAACTACTTCCAATATAACTGCAATCACCAAAATGAATCTCACCTTAGAGAACCAAACAAGTGCAAATACATCCACCACCATGAAGCCACTGCCTGGTACAGAAGCACCAAAAACAACTTCTCCATCCAGCAGGCCTGAAACTACTTCAGCTGATCCTTCAACTGGAACTAGAGAAACAAGCATTAAACCAGTAACAACAGATCCAGGGACAACTACAGAATCGGTAACTACTACAGTTAATACAGATACTAACACTACTGGTAGTAAAAACACTACTGGGGCCATTATACCAACCGTAAAACCATCTGAAACAATGTCTACCATAACAACAACCGGAAATACAACTGCGACTACAAGTGCTAAAACTGAGACAGTGACAAATGAAACAACTGCAAAACCTGACGAAACTATTACAAGTGCAGCAACAATGATAACTACAGCACCAAAAAATGAATCTCCTGCAACAACTGCAAAAAGTAGCACATCTCCTGCAACAACTGCAAAAATTAGCACATCTGCTGCAACAACTGCAAAAAGTAGCACATCTGCAACAACAGTCAACAATGAAGTAACACTTTCTCCAAACACCAAGGATGGTGCAACCGTATCAAAGGAAACGCAGTCAACTTCCACGTTAAACCAGAGTAACACCGAGCAGTCAAAGGCATTAAGTTCAGGTAAGTGTTCTGTTGATGAGGAGCTGAAGTCCAGAAACTGTGCCCAAAAAAGATAGGCATAGGGCAAAAGTCTAGTTACCAGTATTGCCTGTGGTCGCCCTACAGCAGATCTTTTCCCCATTACTGGCCTAAGATGATTTGTTCTGCACCATGTCTCTGTGTGGAAACGAACATCTTGGTAGAGCAGAGTTTTGCTTCCTTATTTTAAACCCTCAGCAAGGAGAACAGTGAGCAGCTCAGTAGTGACATCACCAAATCTCACTGCAAATCTCATCATGAGACTAGCAGCCAGAGGCACCAGTGCCTGAGATCTTACATTGCAGATGCTTGGCTATGTGGCTGTAGGCACAGGAGTCCCTAAGCATACACCCGGAAATGCACTGCTAATTTTCAGGGATTTAAAACCAAAAGGTACATTTTCAGGGCACTATTCAGGCACACTTACCATTTCTAGATATTTCCTATAACGGCAAATCTTCCGTTTTTTAGTCAGGGTCCACTTTAAAATTAAACTGTTTCCAAACTATGCACACTAATAATACATAATAATAATAATAAATATTCTGAACAAGCAGTAAAATCACTTTAAAACAAACCCTCATTCATCTCTCTAGCTATAGGTATTGTTAAAGAATTTTAAGTAATTTTCAGGCCTAAAATGTGGAATATAACATGGGTACAAAAAATGAAAAAAAGGCCTCAGTCATGAAGGGGTTAAAGTTTACAACAAAGGCAAACAAGTTTAAAAAAGAAACCTAGTGCACATTGCCCTTGCACCCATTCAAATCTGTGCAGTAGTTTATTAATAAATTGTAACTGTATTTCTCTCTGTGTTGGCTGCAGTTCCACCCCAGGCTGAAGCCCAAATTATATTCATTCCTAGAGGGGAGGTACAGCCAGTACTGAAGCCACAGACCCCTATCCATTCTGTAACTTTTCTTGCTGTGCAGTCCTTTCCCTCTTCTACTCCCTTTGTACTGATAAAGGATTGAGGGCTAGTTCACACCAGCCACAGTGCATTCTGCCCGATTGGTGCCGGAACGCAAATGGATTGCATTCGGGCCGGCTCACTTTGTTTTGGGGCGGGATGGGGTGTGGTGGTGCGTTGAAGTCAATGGCACTGCAGCCACGCCCCCCAGACACAGTGTGATCGCCCACACCTGAACGCATGGCACATCAGTGCCTGCGTTCCGGTCCAGTGCAGTCAGAAAAAATAGTGCATGCAGCACTATGCAACACTAACCGTCAGCACAAAACCTCCCACTTCCACCAGCTGGTTCGGAGGAGATTACTATAGTACTAACTGTTAGCTTCTGTTGTTGCTGAAGATGGCAGCTGCAGAGGAGTGCCATCACAACATCACATGCCGGATACCATATCAGACTCTCTGAGACAAATGTAGTAGTCAGCGTGTGCTACTACAGCATTGCCCAGGGCAGTTCCAACACAAAATAAAGCCAATTTGCGTTATGTCCAATGGCTTCACTTCACACCAACATGCTGAGTTGGAGTACACTGAAAAAAATAGGACATGCTGCAGCTCATAGAATTAAATAGCAATTACATTCTTAATAACTGGGCTGACATAACGAAACCTATGTCAGCATGTGACATAAGTGATGTACTAGCCTTAGTGTCTCCAGGTTTCTGTCACTTTTCCTGGATCATCAATCGTGTGTCGAGGAATAGTTATGGATTACTAACAACATGTAATCGTATCACATACGCTTACATGCAGTGTGCCGCTGTAACCCGATCATTAACTTGAACAGGTGACAGCTGCCGCTTGTAAACAGAAGATTAGGGATTCCTGATGCAGGAAATTGAAGGTTCCTGATGCAGGAATCCCTAAACGCATCCACATTGTAGGTGTGAAAGAAGCCTGAAAGTCGGGAGCTAGCTGAGAAAAGTACAAACAAGTTCATGGCTGCACTGCAGGGGTGAGCTTCTTTTGACCTCTTCATTGCCCAGGCTTTTGGGACACGCGAGCTGAACTGGTTAATGAATTTAATAAAATGTCATGTTTTATTGATTTCAGTGTCCTCATTGTGGAAATTTCCCCTTTCTATCCTAGTGACAGGGAGTCGGAGGAACAGGAAGTAATGGACTGTCCCTCAGCTGGATTTAAAACCTAGTCTGGTTTTGATTGCTGTCTGTGTCTTCCTTTCCTAGTGATACCCCTTCCCCATATTTCTTGTTTTGACGTTACAGGGACAGGAGGTGAGCGGAAATCTCTCTGGTGAGAACACTGATAGCCATAAATAAACTTGACAGCGGTTCTAAACATTCCTTATTTTAGTCTGATTTAAACAGAAATATGTATTATATAATAGCATCTCCATTCTCCTGCAAACAAGAAATGTAAAGTTTAATAACTGTTGTCTGCCAGAGCAGATACTGTAGATTAGGATTGGTGCCAAAAAGTATGACTGCATAGTGTGCAACTTTCACTGAACCTTTCATCCTATTGTTGTATAAAACAAACACCATGGCTTTTATCACTCTGCTTTTGTTCAGCTCCGGTGATGACCAACTTGCCAATGAAAGGAGAATCAGAGAGATATACAACAGCACACACTAGCAACTATCTAAAAAATGTGACCTTATAATGCATTTCTTTGACCTTGATTAGAGGAAAGAAGATATAAAGCAGTAAGGCAGGCTGGAAAAAAGGGGACCCCAGGAGCTTTCAGCCACAATGTATAAGCATGCACAACATAATAGCACATTATGACAGACTTGCGAAAGCGATTCCCTCCCTCGCACGCACTTCCATCTACATTTTGAGTCTTCAGCTGTTGAATGGCCAGGCCTCAATGATGTAACTCTTGCGCATGCATATTGGAGTTACTTTATCTCGGCATGCTGAGCTGAAAGGTTGCGCTGAGCTGAAAGGTTGCTGATTGGCAATTTATTTTTCAAACTCCACTTTATGGCCTCTTTCACTAAGGCACCGGTCTGCTTTGATCAGCAGAGAATCCGTGCACAGATCCCCTTCTGATCGGAACAGTAGAAAATGAATATCACTTTTGTGACATCCGTGTCCTTTCCATTTTTTTTCTCCATCTTGCGATGGAGGAAGTAACTGGACCCATGTTAAGTCTATGGGCGGTTGGTTGTAAGCGAACATGTGTCTGTTTACATTCACATACCTTAGATCCATCACATTTAGGTCCCTTCAAAATGGAACTCTTTTACGATTTTATCAGGCCTATACAGACTCGGAAGTATTCTGATGTAAATAAACGGACGTCTGTTTACATCCGCCAGCCCATAGACTTAACATTGTGCTTCTGATCAGGTCCGCCTTTAAAACTAAGAACTCTGCCCTTACAATGCATTTCTATGATATTTATTATTGCTATGGCATTGCTTAGACTGCAATAAGGGAAAACAGATGTTTGGGGGGAAAAAAACCAGCACACTGCATTAACTGCATAAAATAAAAACATTGCTGCAGTCTTTTTAGGCAAAGTCTTGGTGCATTGTTGGATCATCTGCTATAGGTATCACATTCATCAGATTTGAGTGGGCAGATTGCTGATAAGGACAGAACCAGGCCCGGATTCCCCACAAGGCCACCGAGGCCGGGCCTCGGGGCGGCAGGGCACAGAGGGGCGGGATAGTTGTGGGGATAGTTGCGGGCGCCGGGCTGTAAGTTGCCCTCTCTACATTTAGTCATGCTTTGCACAAGCAGGACTAAATGTGGAGTGAGTAAGCCGATTGTTCATTTACATGTGAACTCGGCGATGTCACCGAGATCACATGTAAAAAGCCTACAGCCTGTCCTCCTCCCCTCCCCCCTGCACTTACCTCTCTCCTCTGGTTCCGTCCTCCGGGCTCCGCCGCAGAGTCTCTCCTCACTGCAGGTAGCAGAGCGGCAGGGTTAAAACTAACCCTGTCGCTCCGTGTAGACAGTGAGAGGGGAGAGCTGTGCTCTTCCTCTCTCACCTGTCACAGGAGTTCCAGCCCAGTGCTGTGCTAGAACTCCTGTATTGGAGGTGACAGGGTCAATAAAGAGAGCCTGTCACCTCCAATTGCTCTCACACAGGGGCTTGTTATTTCCTGTGTGATAGCAATAAAGTTAGGTGACAAAAATGTAAATTGATTAAAACAAATTTACATAAATACAAATTTGAAACAGTAAAAAAAAATTGAAACTAACCCCGCCGCCCTGCCATCTGGTTGCCATTCTCCATTGATGGGAAGGAGGGGTTGGCGGGTGGGGCGTATTGCGGAGCCTGGCCTTGGGACGGCAGGGAGAGTAAATCTGTCCCTGGGTGTAACATGAAACATTTTCACATCATATACCCCCACTCTCATCTTACCTTAATTCTGGGGTTCTTTTGCCTGCAGTATTCAGGCATTTTTGGAATTTGGCCCAGCTGTGCGTGGCTCCTTTGATCTGTGAATGAAGTAACTACAAGTGCTATCTGCCACCGCGGCAGCTCATAATACATACATTCTACAAATGCTGGCTTTAGGAAATTGTTTACCTAATTTTATTGTAGGCCACATATAACCTCTAGTGAGATGTACAAGGTTTGTGGTATTCCAATTGATGTCTACAGCTCATAATAGATACATACTACAAATGCTGTCTTTAGAAAAGTGTTCCCCTTTTTTATGGTAGGCCACAGGTACCCCCCAGTGAGATTTACATGGTTTGGGGTATTCCAGTTGATGTCTACAGCTCATAATTCATACTGTACATTCTACAAATGCTGGCTTTCGGAAAGCGTTCCTCTAATTTTATTGTAGGTCAGGTATAACCTCTAGTGAGATGTTCATGATTTGTGGTATTCTAACTGATGTCTACAGCCCATAAATCATACATTCTACAAATGCTGGCTTTGGGAAATTGTTCCTCTAATTTTATTGTAGGCCACATGTAACCCCTAGTCAGAATTACATGATTTGCGGCATTCCAGTTGATGTCTACAGTTCATAATACATACATACTACAAATGCTGGCTTTAGAAAAGTGTTCCCCTGTTTTA